TTCATGACAGTTTCGTTCTTATTTTTCTTTTTGGGTTAAGCATGACAGTTTCACTCTTTAGTTCAATCATGTAATTTTGACAAGGGTTAGAAGGGTAAAATATCTGGTGCCAGTGGTAGTTGCCAACCCCCACTATATTTCCTCCAAACACAAAGGATGAGTGTGTCATTGCGAGCTCCACTTCCATATTCACTCTATAGATTGTCAGTTGGAAAACAAAAAAGAATTAAAGATATGTTGTTGGGGTCAATGCTAAAAAGAGTGGTTTGAATTTTAAGTAATACGAGAATGTTTCCTTAAATAGGCATTTTCCTGTCATTCCAAACATGGTTATCAGAGCAGCGCCACTAGGTACGAGCATTGTCTGTTTCGTTGGTATACTCTATCCCATTTTGAAATTTATTTCTTATAGATGAGTTATAACTTATACCCAAGCTAGGGATGGGAGACTTAGGAGTACTTACACCATCTCCATGTTGAATTAAAACTAAATTCTTGAGCATGGAATACAAGGAAATAATGCAGTAGTAATAAACAGAAATAATGCAGAAATAATAAACAAAAATAAAACCCAAATGGATGCACCAAATGTGTAAGGGCCTGACTTGACCAACAAAATAGACCGTCATTAATTTTATTATTTATATCAAGATACACTGTCTTTCTCAAAGCAGTCAATATATCAAACAATTGTTTGAGCCTAATGTTCTTCATGAGAAGGCTATTGAGGGCCATGTAGTTGGTTGTGAATAAAATAGCACCAAGGCCTATTAACAGACCATGATTATAGCTACGCTGTTAACTATTGTTATACTTGGAATTGCCTGCTTGACTCCAAGTTCATTGGCCTGTCTTCTATTATTATAGTATTTTGTCGCCTTTAATGATTTGGGGGCAGACGAGACACTTGCAACTTCTTACTTCATCGATTTAACTTGTTATTTTCTAGGCATTGGATCTCATAAGGGGGAAAAGTTTGTTATTGTTAATGGATTCATCCTTAGAAGGACAATATGCCAATGAAGATGCAACTGAATTGGTTGAATTGGCCTCAAAATGTCTTCAATATGAGGCTAAAGATCGACCTGAGACCACATTTCTTCTGTCAGCAGTATCCCCCCTCCAAAAGCAGACAGAGGTATTTTGAATAGTTACGAAGTCTTATTGAAAACTAGGATTTTGTGACGACTTATCCTGCAATTTCTTCATTTGTTTTATTTATATTTACTAATATATTCATTCGTTGAAACTGTTATTTTAGGTTGCATCACTTGTTTTAATGGGTTTATCAAAAACTCCAGTGGTGATGCCAACCATACTTTCTCCGCTTGGGAAGGCCTGTGTACAGATGGACCTCTCTGCAGTTCATGAGATTTTGCTAAAGACTGGTTACAGAGATGAAGAGGGTGCAGAAAATGAAGTGAGTTTCTTATCTTCTCTTTGTAGGTGAACCACATATATCTGGAAATAGAAAACTTAAATATGATTATCTTACCATATTACAGAACGAAAGAAGGCAATCTTCTTCCATTAAATAAAGTTTTGTGAGCAAATGCCGTAATTTTGCCTAAAAATTAGTTGATCCACATCAGTGTTCTCTTAGCTTCTGTAACATCTCCCAAAATATAGTCGGCCATATTAAAATATGTAATTACTAGTTAGTACAATTGTTTTCAAAGGCTTGTGGGTTGTGATCTTTTATAATGATCCTTTTCATCGGAAATGTGTTCTATCTAAAGCTGTCATTTCAAGAGTGGACACAACAAGTGCAAGATATGTTGAATACCAAGAAATTTGGGGACATTGCGTTCAGAGACAAGGATTTTAAAAATGCGGTGGAGCACTACTCTAAGGTATTTTTCTTTAATTTCCGTTGTTCTTTACGTTTACTCTTACTTTCAAATGCATAATGTGATTCCTATGATGTCATGGTCTAGTTAGCAATTTCCGTTATTAAAATCTTGAAATGGGGATATCGCGTTCCTTACAGCATCTTTGACTTACGTGAAATTGTTTTCATCATCTTCTACGCACGTTGAGTAAAACTCATTGAATGGAACGGTAAATCTTGCAATACCTTTATGGCTTTTGAAATCATATGAGCAGCAGATGACAGCAGAAAATTGAATAAAAGAAGTTTACCTGAACCGCGAGTACTTGCAGACTCGGCCGAAAAAAAATTAAAAATCTTAGTGCCTTTGTATCTGTATGTGTCTTTTAATTTCTGATCCTTTTTATTGTACAGTTGGTTTCAATGATGTCTGTTCCTTCGGGTACTATATTTGTGAGGCGAGCGCTCTCCTACTTAATGATCGGGCAACCAGAATTAGCTTTGAGAGATGCCATGCAAGCTCAAGTGTGCTTGCCTGAGTGGGCAACTGCCTTCTACATGCAGGCTCTCGCCCTTTCGAAACTGGGAATGGAAACTGACGCTCAGGACATGCTAAAGGATGGAGCTTCCTTCGAATCGAAGAAGCAAAACAGCTGGCGCAATTAGATCGCGAGGCTGATGAGATGGCGGTAACCAAGGCCCTTGAATTTTTTGCCACTTTTTTCACCCTGATGTTGTTGCTGCAAAGGATATGTGGTCGAGCGGAAGCAGGTTTCGTTTGGGTTATTTTCAGTTGACAATTCACCTTCTAGTTGTGAAAGTAGTCTTACACAAATGTATAAGCAAAAATTTGAAATAAGAAATTAGAAACTAGATGTGTAATCAGCTGTTCAATCAAATTTACAGTTATTTGTTTTCTACCTTGGTTTCTTGTTCTGGGGTACAAGAGCAGGAAGCCGGAATCACTCTGATTGAACACTGCATCCACGAAGTCCACCACCGTTGCCAACGCCTCTCGTGGTACAAAACTCACGTCCACCATCTTTACTGGCCAGTTCACTAATTACTTAAATGGTGAACTGCCTTGACTTTTTTCTACCACTCTCCACCTATTGTGAATAGTATTTGTCATGGCACATGCACTGTTCTAAAAATACGACGAAAGGCGGCTGGTCACTGGATTGTATTACTAAGTGGCGCCAAAACTTCAACTTGGCTCAAAACTTGTAACTTATCCTTGTAATCAAGTACAAGATTTGCAAAGTTGTCCACATGGATTTACACTGCGCTATAGATGGCTGACTACTAGACTGTAGTACTAAGTGGCACCAAAACTTTAACTTGGCTCAAAACTTGTTAACTTATCCTTGTAATCAAGTACATGATTTACAAAGTTATCCTCATGGATTACGTCCTTAGTTGTTAACTTGTTGGAGAAAGTTGACAAATGTTTACAAGCAATTCTTGGTATTTTCTGCTATGCATTGCCTCCGCTTGGCCTTTGCAATTGCTTTTGTTGTTTTCCTTGTTAGCGTTTTCGTAGGTTACAAATAGTTTGGTCCAAATCGTCTTCTTCTAGTTGTCGGGTTGGGCATTTTTGGTATTTTCCGCGCTTTTTGTTGGCCTAACTTGGTGCTCTCTTTTAGGGCACATGCGTACAAGAAAACAACAATTGTTAACACAAGTTTTTGTGGTCCAATTCGTAATGTATTTTAATGATTTAAATTATCTATCTTTTAGAATATCATTTATTGATCATTCTTATAAAAATTTAGACAAAGGAAAGAACCCTAAACCTAAATATGATTTCAGATTTGGGTGATTTTTGGTAGATCCAATATTTGAGAGAAGATCTAAAAGATAGACGGTTCATCTGATTTCAGATTTGGGTGATTTTTGGTAGACCTGATCTTTGAGAGAAGACCTAAAAGATAGACGGTTCAAATCATTGAAATATATTATGGAGTGAGCTACACAAAAAACTTGTGTAAAAAAAGTAGTGTCACGAATCTGTATATATATATATATATAAAGTAAAGGGTTTTTTTATAAGAAGATATTAAGTAAAGGAGGTTAAGCTAAGCTTCACAATTATTCGTAAATAACTTGATGTTGAACTTAGTCATTGAATAAGTCTTGTCTAAAATCTTCTATTTACATAAAAAAATGAACACTACGAGAGTGTAATACGTGTTGCCAAACCAATATACATTTGTTTTGCTTGAAACGCTGGTGTTTAGAAACGAAAAACGTTGTATTGCAACAAGTTTGGTGCTAACTAATAATGCATAATGCATGTTAGTTGATATTGTTTTATCATTAAACTTAAAAATCGAATTATATATGCTAAGACAGAAGATTAAGTTTAGATTTAACAAAGTGATATCAATCCCACGATGTAAGTCAAAAGATGCTGAAATGCCTCTATTGGTCTTTTTGACCCTCGAAAATATAGATTACCATGAGTCAATCCCTTTTGAAAAAGACATATTTGTCGATTTGTCCCTTAAACTTGTATGGAGCTGCTAATTTTCTCTCTGAACTTAAATTTTAGCTGATTATCCCTCTGAACTTTTATAATTAGCTAATTTTCCCAAAACTTTAATTTTAGCCGATCATCTCCAGAACTTTTATAAACAGCCAATTCCTCCTAGCGTCAAATTTTAAAAACTTTCATTCAATTTTTCATCCATGGCCAATTATAAAATTTCTAGAGGTAATCAGCTAAAATTAAAGCTTAATGAAAAAATTGACTCATTATAAAAATTCAAAGAAATAATCTGTTAAAATTAAAGTTCAGAGGATAAATCAACAGCTCTATACAAATTAAGAAACAAATCAACAAATGCCTCATTAAAAACATTTGATTAAAAACATTGAACTAATTGCGCTGGGCCTAGCGAGCGCTGCAGGCCAACCCATACAGGGATCGGACGACAAGAAACTTCTAGCAAGACCTAGTCTAGGCTAAAGGACAACATTTATAGGGGATAAGGATAGGATCATTTTTCTACGAATCCTAAAGATCCCGTAATCGTATTTAAACACGTAATATAATTTAGGTTACGACAAACACAATAAAACTACACCGTGCCAGGTGAGTTGCCAGGTGAGTTCCTCTCTTCTACGTTCAAAATTTTATTTACGGTTATAACAATAAAGAAAAAACATATTTTCAGTTGTAACCAAGGCCCTTTTATTTGTTCGTCAACAATTTGTTAGTCGGACCACGTGAGCGTGATAACGTACAAAACCAAAATTACAATACTTTTTCTATAAAAAAGTTGATTGGGGTAATAAATCTGCAAACTGGGAAACTCAATATCTGCAACCAATCAAAGGTTGAAGATTGAAGACGGAGAAAAATAGGCGCCAGTATTTGCTTTGCTCTCTCTCTCTCTCTCTCTAATACTTTCTCTCTCTACTCTTTGGAGCCTACTTGCAACGTCTTCTTTTTCTTCCTTTAAATAAAAAACAAAGTTAAATAGAGGATTCAGAGTCGATACAATACAAATATATTTATGTACACAGAGAGGTCAACACACACTCATAAATCTCTATTCACCAACTCCCTTTCTTCTTCCTCAAGCGGCTCCGATTTCACGGTATGTCCTCTCTCTCTCTCTCTACAATTTTGTTTGGGACTATATTTCTCTCTTCTTCCGCTCAGTCTCTATGGTCATATGTTGTTTCAGAAATTTGGGATGTTTGAATTTCTTTCTGGGTTTAAATGGTTCTGCCTCTGATTGAATCTGTTTTTGTTATTCATCCTCGTAAACAAGACATGGGTTGTGCATGTTTTTCTCCTCGCTTTGATGGGTCGGTGCTTGATTTTCCATATTTTTTAAAGTTCAATTTTTTAATTTTTGTAGTTGTTAGATGCTTTTCTCTTTTCTGAAGTTATAATTTCAAATTAATTTCAATCATTAAATGGTATGTAGCTTCAATATGAAGCTGCTTCTACTTTGTAGATTACTGGGTTTTCTCCGTTTTTGCATAGGTTTCAAGTGGTTCAGAAATTAATTGTTTTTCAGCATTTTGGCTGTTAGATTCCCATGCCATTAGGGTTTTTGATAAAATTCATGAAAAAGAAATTGGTGGTTGCCAAGATGTAACCCTGGATTCCAATTCAGAAGTCAAAACCTGCATTATGAGCACCTCATAATCTCCTAATTAAATCTTCTACCCGGTCAACTTCTAGTTACTGACCCTTGTGATAATTGATGCAACTGAATGAAGCCTGAAAACCCTCAAATCGCATGTTTTGGTGGCGGATTGGTTTTGGTTTCAATCCTATATGTTGAGAGCATTCAATTTTGTGTGGAATGTGTGCATGATTTTCAATAGCTTCTTGGGGTTTCATATTATGTGTTGCGGTTTAATGATTCGGGTTCTACACTTTCGGGAATCAGAATTTGATCGGCACAAAGCTTGCCAGTTCCCTCTGTTTTTGAAAGGGATAAGTTTATTTTGTGTTTCCTGTTATTCTGAATAATCTGAAACCCTGCCCCTTTTGTTGAACGTGACAGTATTTTTTTTCTTCACTTTTTATAGCTTTGAAATCTAGTTGTCACCTTTGATTTTCCTGGAGGGACGAATTGGAAATCTAGTCGTTACCTTGTGTCTGCATCTTTTCAACATCATCTTCATTTTTAACTCGGTTTCCTAGTCTTCTGTATTTTGGGTTTTCTTATGCTTCCCTTCTAATTTAATCATCATTGGGGCCTTTTCCGTTGTTGTGCAATATGCTGTCTTACACTGATGTAGCGGTTGATTTGCGATTTTTTATTTTGCCATATCATGTAAACTTTTGTGACTGAAAACACTTAAAATCGACTATCTTTTATCAAAGCCAAGATATACTGAAGTAGTCTATGTTCTGAGAAAATAAAAAAGTACAATTCTTTGAAGCAGCTTGGCCAGTAGCCCTCCCATAATTTTGTTGTTTTCTTTTTAGTTGGTGAATGGGGATTCTCGGATGCATTTCTATTGCAAAATGAACAACTTTGTGAGAACATTGTGGTAGTAATTGGAACTTCTTGTGAATGTCTCTTCCGATTTTCTTGTCACCATTTTTCAACTTACCTCCAGTTAATATGATGTTTGGATACATGCAGACCAAGCACATCAGACATTTTATGGATAAAGCAGGACTTGGCAAGGAGGCTCCTGAAGAAGTGACTCGTGAGTCGCTTATTGCCATTTCGTACTCCTTACCAGAGAAGAATCTCACTTCAAAACTCTCTTCTGGAAAGTTGAATGGCGAGGCAATAGATACTGATGGAGAAGAGAAGTTTAGGTCTGAGCTGATCTCCATTTCGTATACAGAGTCACCGGAAGTTGGAGGCTTACCTGTTACCATGGGAGAACTTAACGGCTAGGGTGCAGGCGGTTCCTGTTGTAATAGAAACCGAGTAATACTGTGTGCATGGACTTGTACTGTGGAAGTTGTTTGCATGTTCTGTAAAATAAACCTTAAAAGAGTTCCTTGAGACAATGAATGAAAAAACTTCCTGTCTTCTGTGTCTCTGTGTGCTGCTGGTTGTGAAATCTGGGTTTTGTATCTCTGCTGCCTCGAAGTTTACTCTAAATCTTTTGGCACTTGTGTTACCAATTGTTGGGACTCACAGCTCGCCTGCAATGAATAGTATAAACTTTGTGTTATCTTTTCATGGTACTTTAAAACTTCAGAGATGAGATTGAAAGTTTTAGATTTTGCTTATGGGATAAAGTATTTTGAAGTTTGTAGTATGATGATGACTTGATAGGTTTATAAATTTTTTCTTATAATTAATTTCAACATAACTGGAAATTTTCATATAGTATTAGTAATATGTGCATGATAAACTCCAAATCGAACCAAACTGCACAGCAATATTGGTGAACCGATTACATCGGTTTAAGCCATTATGGTTCGGGGTGGTTTGAAATTCAGGCAAATCAGTTTGGGTCTTGGTTTGTACCCAAAACTGAACCAATCCAAACTGTGTCGACTCTTAATACATTTTATTAGGCTGGCAGAATATTCTACAACTAAAAAAAAAAAAAAAAAAAAAAAAACCTTGCACAATAGACTAGACAGACGAGCTAGTCAACGAGTTACAGTTTGATACTGATGAAAAACATAGTTGTAAGATATAAACTTAAAAGACTAGAAATCTCAACTAGTCAAACTCCACCAAGTTTAAGTTTAATAGCAAATATTCATACACAGAAGCTTATTCACTTATCAGATCACACAATACCAACAAGTAACAATAACATAAGAATGTAAATTAAATAAAAATATGTTGTGAAATCAACGGTATGTGTGCAGTGGAATAAAGTAAATAAGACACAATATTTACGAGGTTTAGCAAGTGTATCTACATCCTCAGGGTAGTAGCAGTAGTCTCTCTTATTATCATACTGAAATTACAAAGTAATGGAAACAATACATTGTATTTACGCTTCTCTATCATATTTGTATGCTGATAGGCCTTTATATAGAGAAACTTTATCTTCTTTGTTAAGGTCAACAAATGTGAAAGTAGGCAGCACAACTTTAACATTTGTTGGCTGTTGGTGCCTTTTTCTTCAAGTGGGTCATCCACTTTTATAACACTCCTTCTTGGATGACCACAAGTTTTTAACTGATTGTCTTCATTAGAACTTTGCTCATATGGCCAATGTAACATACTGTTAGACACTCCCCAAGATGATATCTCCCCTTGATTAGAATAAGCTTTGGATTAATTAATTTGTCATTAAGCCAATACGCGATAGTTGGAGTGTTTGCTTCTGAAGGTGAATCATGTGTGCTCCAAATTTGATTGGCCATAGGTCTTAACCATACACATGTATTTCTAAGAGATATAAAGATGTAGCACCGAATGCTTGTTTCCTTGATCGTTGCAAGATCAATCTATTTCCATATGTAAATACTAATCATTTCTGAGAGCGATTTGAATGTAGACTAGAGAGATGTTTAGATTTTGCTTGCTCAATATGACTATGGCTATTAGTAAGTTCTTTGGAATAAAACAAGCATATGTCTATAATTTTCTGGTGATATCAATAGATAAACTTTATTTCATTGCAATACCCATTTTGTTGGTATTGTGCTCCACATGAAATGTAATAATTGATTCAGTATATTGTGCTAAATACAGTAAGGCACGTACTTCACTAAGATAAGGTACTTCTAGATCAAATATCAATTCATCATTTACCTCACGAGGATGAATGACCCTTCTTAGTGCTTAAAAATTAATTAACCATTTAAGTGTTCAACTCATGATCTTCAAACCGCATGGTTTTTAATACCATAAACTTTTGTTGGATAAGAATTTGTGTTGGCATATCATTCGATCTGCAGCTCGAGACAATATTCCTTTCAACACTTTATAATTTGTCTAGACTCTTCAGGAGTCTCAATTTTATATGAACTCTTGCAAGAGATTTAGTATATTGCAACAATATAATGAAAGTACTCTCTGGCAATTTTATACCATCTATTAGTATTGAGCACATAATCTATGCTTTACCCTTCTAGGGCTTACTTTAAGCAATTTGAATCATTTACACTTCATGACACATTCTCCTTTAGAATTTATACAGAGCAATTTGCCTCTATGTATACTTGAGGGATTTACTTACGGAGATATGCTTCGGGCATATATATATCCATTGAAATGAATGAGTTTCACAATGAGAAATCATGTTTAAAAGAGTATATAACAATTTCAGGTTTCAACTAGGAACCAGGTGTCATATCATGTAATATTTCACTGTATTACAAATGTCAATATGTAACGTTATGGGTTCAACATCATTTGACGATTTGTACTATAAGTCTATTTTTCCACGTTCTTGCTAAATTATAATGAAATTGCCTTTTTCCATTTTGGCCAATAATTTTTCTTTTCGTCAACGAACAAAAGAACGTGGCTCAATATCAACATAGCTCATTGATGAAATTAGTAGCTACTGTAAAACCAAAATCAACATTGGTTATCATTAATTCGTGATCCACAATTCTCATGTACATGCAGATGCATAGTTTATAAGCATTGTTGGAGTTTTGAGCTACTTTAGTCCCACATCAGGGAACTCAAGTTCCCTAGAGGCCCATATATTAGGTTAGTCACCTTTATTAGTGATTAGGTGTTGGACCATTTGGAATGAACATTGAGGTTTGGGCCACTAATTGTATGGATTAGGCTTGTGATAATTATACCATAATATTAATATTATTAATCAAGATCAGAGTTCATTAATTTTAATTTTGAATTAAGTTTTTAATTAAACTAATTAAGAAAATGTTTTGATTAATAGACACAACAGTTTGGAAAGAGTTGTGCGGTTTTAGATACATCCAAAAGGTATTTGAAAATGTACGAAATAGCCTATATATCTGAAGATTCTTAGTTCTTTCATATATCATCTTTTTCCTTTCTATCTCTTCCATACAAAACCTTACAAAGAGTAAACACACAAAGCAATTCGCCAGAATTCTATAATCCAGTGCGGGTTGTAGAATTAGATAGTTGTATCCTGGTTGAGTAGACACCATAAAACCACAAGCACAAGAATGAGACGGAAATACTATTCGAATGACATAGTTTTTGCACTAGCCTCTATCTGTGTAAACCAAGTTAGTACAATTTTAATTTCTGTATTTATTTATGTTATTTCATTTTGTATTGCAAGTATTTTTCGTTAGTAAAGTTTTAGAATTTCAAGTTCTATTATTTTTATTTATTTCTGAATTGTTCTCCAACAATCTTGGAACAATATGGAACAATCAGGAACTAAACCTCATTCTGAAAGCTTGAGAAATTTAAGGGCGGAGACTTCAAAAGTTGGCAACAGAAAATGCTGTTTTATTTGACAACTTTGAATCTGGCTAATGTTATGTGTGAGACTGTGCCTAGCCATAAACTTTGACGGTTATAAATGCCTAGAATCATAATGATTTCCTCTGCAGAAACTATATTCTCAATGCATTAAATGATTCGTTGTATGATGTCTATGTGGTATGCAAGACAACCAAGGAACTTTGGGAATCACTTGAGAAAAAATATAAAACAGATGATACTAGTTCAAAGAAATTTGTCGTGGCCAAATTTTTGGACTACAAAATGGTTGATTCCAAGTCTGTTTTCTCTCAAATTGAAGATCTCCAGAAAATCATCCATGACATTCATGTTGAAGGGATGGTGATCAATGAGTCTTTTCAGGTGGCGTCTTTTATAGAGAAATTGACACCTTTTTGGAAGGAGTTCAAGAATTATCTCAAGCACAAATGTAAAGAGATGACCCTCGAGGATCTCATTGTAAGGTTGCAAATTGAGGAAGATAACAGAAAGAATGAGAAGGGCCTGGTTTCAAGTATGGAAGCCAAGGAGAATGTTGTTGAAGGAAGTTCATCAAAGCAAAGGCCGAAATTCTAGAAAACTAAGAAAAAGGAAAAGAACTTTGTCCCTGGTGTGAAAGGCAAAGACTTCAAGAAAATTAAGGGAAGTTGCTGGGTTTGTGGAAAGTTAGGCCATAGGGCTCAAGAATGTCGCCATTGAAGGGATTAAGGTCCTGGAAATCAAGGCAACAATAACCGCACAAACTTGATTCAAAATGATGTGGATCCCTGACTGCAATGATTTCTAAAATCAATCTTGTATCTGACCACGCTGATTGGTGGATAGATACCGGTGCGACTCGCCAAAAAGTTGAGGGGAACAAGCAGCTATTTATGGGAAATGTGTCTGCATCTGTGGTGGCTAGAATAGGGAAATGTATTCCGAAATTCACTTCTGAAAAGGAATTAACCCTCCTTGATGCACTGTATGTACCCGATATAAAGAAGAATCTTGTTTCTAGTCTTATCCTTAGTAATAAGGGATTCAAACTAGTTTTTGAGTCTAATAAGTTTGTACTAACTAAAGGGGAATGTTTGTAGGAAATGCTTACCTTGCTGATGGATTATTCAAACTGAATATACTTGCTAATGCTATGAATGAAATAAATAATGCTACTGGTTATATTGTTGATTCATCTAATTTATGGCACTCTAGGTTAGGACATGTAAATTTTTGTTCTCTTTTTAGAATGCATAATTTAGGTTTGCTGCCCAAACTTGATTATTTAGATAATGTTAAATGTGAAACTTGTACATAATCAAAATTTGCAAGTAAAAACTTTAAATCAGTGCATGAAAAAACCAATGATTTGTTAGATTTAATTCATAGTGACTTGTGTGATTCCAACTCATGGTGGAAAGAACTGTTATGTAACATTTATAGATGATTTCAGTTAGACCTGTAAACGGGTCGGGTTTACTGGGTTTGGGTCGGGTTCAATCCTACTAGTTAAGTTAACGGGTCACCCAAACCTAACCCGTTAAGTTAACGGGTCACCTGAACCCAACCCGTTAAAGCTAACGGGTCACCTGTTTCACCTGTTAACAATTTGTTTTTGGGTTTGGTACCCAACCCGTTAAGCTGTGGTCCGATTCGACGTCGACTGACTTAAGCCTTGCGA